GAGTTGATTTGTGTTGTTTTTGTGCCATACGAGGTTGATAGGTGGAACGTTTATTAAATCGGCCTAACGTTTCGACAAATCGTCGTCTTCAGAGGCCTAAATGTGGTTCAAGGTTGAGGTTTACATTCTACTCCACCAAGCGCCCCATCCGCTCCCGACGTCCCGTCAGAAACCCTACAGAGAAAAATAACCAAGTGTGATACTCAACTCACCCGGCTCTCCATAAGGATCTCAAGCAGGAAATCACGCAAACACTCTAGACGGGAGGAAGTAATGTAGGCCCCAGTAAGCTCGTCGCGATAGTGCATTGCTTCGAATTGTATGTGACCGCTATGGAAGTAATGTACACTTCTACATACCGAGAGGGATTTCATGAATAATTTCCCAAGCCAATTCTATCTGCCTAGTCCCTTTTGGAGCATAACCGCTACGGCTGATCAGTCGTGAATAAAGTGAATCATATCTATCTTCCTGTCTACTCGAGGCGGCTTGTCGGACAAACAATTCGCATTTCAAGATGAACTATCAACCTCCTAGTTTACCACCTAGACTGCCGTCTCTGCTTTTAGTAAATTACCCTGCCATCCTACTTATTACAAATAATTATATTATTATTCGTATGTCGTCTGTCCCTCTGAATGTCTGTCACGAAATTCTCTACTTCCTAGAGATTCGACTGGAAACACCGGGCCAAATGTGGGATAGGTGGGCCAAGTTTCGAAAAGCAGATTAGCTAGGTGGGGTGTCGCCTACAGCGGGCGTGGCGTAAGTTGGAATGAGTGATACTGACGACGAAAACTTCAAATTTGATTCCAAAACGGCAAGGTAGGCCAGACCAAATTAGAGAGACGCACTTTTGTGGACGGGGGCGTAACGAAGCGGTGCTCAATTCAAGTTCTAGAGACTGGGAAAAAGCGGCAGCGTGGTGGGCAGAGCTAAAATCCAAAGTAGCCACATGGTCCAGAAATAGTACGAAGACCGAGTTTGCGGCGAAAACTGGGGTATCATAGTGAGCGCTAAGGCTCTGTGACTGAACGTTTGTAAGTTTGTTTGGGTGAAACTCCAGTTCGGGGGGGCCACTCCATTGCTATCTTATCCGTAGTACTAGAGAGCAGTTCTTTGGGCTATCGAACACTACGGATAAGATAATAAGTGAACGACTCATTTCGAGCGTACTTTTGATAAGGACCGGTGGATGTCCTACATTCCACACTACCTGCCCACATCCCATCCACTTTTCTGCACAGGTGATCCACGCTGGAGCTCCTGCACCCTTAGC